AACTAATGACAGAAAAAGAGCTCAACAGAAATGAGGCAGAGAAGGTTGGATGGTATGAACAGCTATTTGGAGAAAACAAGACACCATAATAGCTAGTGCTGATTTAATATCATCTTGTTTTGAAGTCCCATCAAGCTTTTGTTCTTCTGTCTCCATCGGTCTTAACATGTTGTATCTTATTGGATTTTATTATATGTGATTATATAAACAAAAACATTTTATAGACAAGGAGATAATACAGAAACCATTATTCATTTTCTGTTAGTTGGTTTTAAATATCCTGTAATACTGTCATTCTCTTGAATGGTTTTACATTGTCTTGATATGTTTGATGCTACAGTATACAAAGTTATACTCAAAGAATTCAAGGAAAGAGATACTACGGTAACTACTTTTATGTCAGGATATCTTGTGGTGAAACACTATTCTGTTTAAATGGTTATGTTCTAACCTGTGCTGTTTTGTTTTTGTTTTGTTTTGTTTTGTTTTGTCTTTTTCCGTTTTCTTGGTACTGGGGATCGAACTCAGGACTGCCTGCTTGCAAGGCAGGTGCTTATGCCACTGAGCTAAAACCCCAGCCCAACCTGTGCTGTTTTGTTGTTATGTCCTCTTTTATCTCAATCTCCTTTTTTATATTTTTTTAATTTTTATCTTTTTAATTAAGGGAAAAATAAAAAATAGCAGGATATATTATAGTAACCCACTTTTATTTCCTATTAACTTGATTTGAAACCTTGTATTGCTCTCATCATCTTGTTTTGACTGATATTACTCTATTCTGTTTTGCTGGATATTACCAAGTTTGAGAGTATAGGCAACAACTGTGAAGACAGTAAGATTCACTATGATGCCCATTCTGGTTTGACTATTATTTTCTTTTGAAGTCCTGTAATGTCTCCAATGTTTTAGTTTAATTGGTTTTGTTCTTTACTGTTTTGTTCAATTTTATTATAACTGATGATATAGTCAATTCTTTTTAAGATAGCAAGAGGCATTATGGTAACCATTGTTGATCACCTTGTATTCTGTTTTTACTTTATGTACTATGTCCATCCTTTTGATTTGACTGACTCTGTTTTGTTATGTCACATTTGATTTTATTCTCTTCAAAAAAAAAAGTAATAAGAACTGTGGGAGTAATAAAAGCCAAAATGTGTAATTGTCATTGTAAAAAAGAGAGGAAAAGAAAGTGCTCTAAAGGATATAACTGCATGTATATTTAAGCATATAAGATAACCATATTACTGAGTTTTTACTGGATCATTGAACAGAACTGTTTGCAGTCTCACTGTTTGAATGTCCACTTTATATGCTTTAATTTTATAACTTGAACAACTATTTCTAAGATGACAGTATGTAATCTATTAACTAGTGATTTCCTACTGCTTATTTTTTTAAAAAATTCTGTGTAACTTGTACCCTTTTTCTGTTTTTTCTTTTTCTCCTTAAATAAAATTTTAAAAAAAGGGTGCAGAACATTCATGTAACAAGTCAGGGATCAGAATTAATTAGGCAAAACTTACATTTCCTAAGTGCAGGAAAAATGGTTTTTATCGAGTTAAACTGAAACCAAATTTTCCTGGTCAGCTGCTGCAGCTGCTGCCAACAGTTTCACTACCCCATCCCAATTTATTTACTTCTAACCAACTGAAACTGATTACAGCTAACCATTCCCTACATTCAGCCATCGCAGGTTCCCTCCTCCCCAAACCATGTGCTTCATGACTATACTGTCCTGGGCAGATGTCATCACCTAACAACCACTTGAGATGAATGTCAGTAATTCCTTCTCAGTCTATTCAGTACAGAAATGTCCACATTTTGGGAAAATTGGACTGTCAGCCCTGACAAATGAGTTGCCATGGCCTTTCCAAAGGTTACCTCTACTGGAAACAACCCAGTCAAGCTCTTCTCAAAGACATCAAAAAGAGAAGCAAAAAGCTCATCAACTACTGTTACTCAGAAACCTGATGAAATAAAAGCACCTGATGTCTATAAGAAAATTCAGTCTGGCCGGGTTGAAGCTGAGCAGGAAGACTTTTGCAAGTTTAACACCAGCCTGAGCTACAAAGTGAGCTCAAGGCCAACCTGAACTGCATAGTGAGACTCTGTCTCAAAAAGATTTAAAAAAAAATCCAGGCTGATAGACAATCATACCCTCTGGCTATGAGTTATAAGGGCTATGGACACTAAAATTAGATAGTTAGGAAATTTCAAAAGCTTTTAACTTTTGGATCAGATGACAACCATTTCATCAGTGTGACAAATTCAGACTAGGCCAGACTAGGCTCCTTTCTTTAGCTGGGCCACTGATAGCCCATAGCACCATCATTGGGGAAACTGAGACTCTTGCCTCTCACCTCTTCTGCAAGGCACAAACCTGCAATCTGAGAGTACATCCCACAAAAATATGAATTCCTATATAAGCCAGCTCCCATATTGCTTCTAGGAAAAGACCTCTCCTGCAAGTTAAAAGCAATAATGTCCATTGCACCAAGCCAGTCATCTTCCCTCTCATTTAACTCTGCACTGTTCTCTTGGACTGCTTCCCAGGAGGAAGATGACACCACCATCAGCCTGAGACAGATAACTGCAATTCTGAAAACTCCCTTCCATAAAGACCTCCATGTCTGGCCATCAACCCTGCTATCTCACTGCAACCTCTGCTGCTGAATGCCTGTTTGTGTTTCCTGTGACATTAACAGATCACACTGGGCAAGGTCTCTGTGCTGTGGACAATACAGCCATTACCTTGAATTCTGTGGTTCCCAACCTATACACCCTTTTCAGACTGTTAGTTGCCACAAGGGTTTAGAAACTCTTTGAGTTGTCAGTAACACTGTAATTGCCCTCTCTATATGTTGCCTCAGTCTTTTGCCAACCATAGCCCACAGGGACACCTGCCTGGACCTAAACAATGTTTTTTTCTGCCTTCAGTTGGCTCCTGTCAGCAACGCCTCTTCACAAAGAGCAGAATTCTGAACTCAACAAGACCTACTGAAAAATAAACCCCCTGACATTGCTGAGTATACCCTGTTTATCATTTGAACTATCTCTGTTTAGAATGAAGTCCATCAGGCTAGATGTGTTGTAGTTGCCTTGGACAAAGCTATTTTGGCCAAAACTCTCCTGCTGCTGCTCTCTGCTATCATTTGGAAAAGTGCAACCAATGCAAAATAATTCAAAATAGTTCAAACCAGAGGCCTAAGCCCCTTCTGGGAATCCAACTGACTGAAATATCAACCCAAGACATCAGACCCCATCGTATGTTTTGTAAGCTCAAGACATTGTTCTGGCACCCACATCCCTGAAGCCAGTTCAGGCTTCAGTGTCTGTGTTACAGACCCAACCTCCCATTCCCTACCTGCATTGAGAAGACAACAGAAATTTATAGGGACCTACTATAAAAAATCATCCCTACGGGCTGGGGATTTAGCTCAGCGGCATAAGCGCCTGCCTTGCAAGTATGTGGTCAATCCCTGGTACTGATTAAAAAAAGAAAAAGACAAAAAAAAAAAAAATCATCCCTAGATATGGCCTACCCTTGATGACTGGCAGCAACAATGGGCCTGCAATTGTAGACTACATACAGTATACATGCCACAAGCTCTAGAAAAGTTTAAAAAAAAATCTAGTAATCAGCTCCATAAAAATTTAGTTGAAAGACCAGTTATACCTCTAGACACTCTTATATACACATATATCTCACAACTGCCTGCTTGCAAGGCAGGTGCTTATGCCACTGAGCTAAATCCCCAGACCCATATCATAAGTAAATATTAACTACTTCTACAAGTTTCAGAAATCCAGCCTTCGATCCACAGGAAAGTTTACCTGGACAGCTTCTCCAGGGTCCAATAAGAAGAGACAATGCACTCAAAATCTTGCTCTGGTCACTCTGCATAGCTGATGCCTGAGGACATGTTTCACAGTACTGCTCCATACTTATTCCTCTTGATTTTTGTATTTTTTTCAGGCTGCTTATCCTGGTCCTTGCTTCTCTGCCACCCTGCTAGTAGTGGTTTATGGACAATTCCTCTAAGAGAATGGAACAACCAATTAAACACTTGACCAAGATTTCACGTGTGTCTAAGACACACTGGATGTGCTCCTAGAACAGCTTAACTCCCTCACTTCCTTGTCAGAGTCAATTTAGGGAGAAACCCTATAATAAGGGAAATAAATCACAAACTCTTGGTGGAAAACTTTCAGTCTTGGGGACATTGGCTAGAGTCCATCCCAAGATCACTGACAACCCTAATGTTAGCACTTCTATTTAGGTCTTGTCTCAAAAGGTCACATATAATATGCCCAGTAAAGATTTGCCATGGAAACTAAAAAAGAGGAAAAAATGTAACAGAAAATGACACCCTAGCCAGTATACTTCAGTTTTTTTAGTTGCCCAGGTTTTTGTTCCAGTTCCAGTTGCTTTTGTCTCCTAGAAACAGCTGGTCACTCTGATGCATAGCTTGTCACCATGATACGTATTATAAGACTAAATCCCCAGTCCACAAGTTATTCTGCCTCTGTATTTCCTGCTTGCTTATCCCGTATAAGCCCCAGACCACCAGAGATCAGGGCCTGATATCTTTGGGAATTATCCCGCGCAGTGCCCATCAAGGTTAAAAAAAAATCTGCCTCCAACTCCTGGGTGTTATTTTGGTGTTTCTGCTTGCCCGTTGCACTGTGTCCTACAACCAGAACAATGAAGCTCATGTCTACAGAGGGCCCACACCGCCATCTGCAGTTAACCTTCAATCAGTTCAGCCACCTTCCTGTCCTTTCTGCCTTTGCAAGGGAGTGAAGGAAAGCTACCATCCTCGGTGGAAAAGTTAGATGCAGTGTTTATTGTTATTTGTTATCTACAATGGCTGGCTAACACTCACCGGGAACAAACCCACACCGGGTTAGGACGCTCACGCCCGGGACTAAGTTCCAGAGCCCACGATCCCACAGGAAAGCAGCGAGCGCTATGCCCCCTGGGCGCGCACGCGCAGGCGCTCTCCGGCCACGCGGGGGGCGGGGCCGCGGGCCGTGGGAACCAAGGCGTCGCCCAGCCGAGAGCCGGCGCGGGCTCGGCCTTCCACGAGTGGCGTGGCTGCCGAGCGTGCGAGGGAATCAGAAAGCCGGTTCTTGTTGAGTCGCAGAGTGGTCGGCATGGCCCGTGAGTGTGCGGCCCGGTGGGAGTGTGCGGACAGACTGCCGGGCGGCAAGGCGCTGGTGGGGACGGCTTTCCGGGAGGGCGGCCCGGGCCCCACGCTGCCGGCGCTTGAGGGAGGGGACGTGGCGGCCGGGAACCTCCTCCTGCTGTGGCTCAGCGCTGGTCCCTGGGGCGGCGCCCCGGGAGGGAGGCCGGCCCGCTGCGCTCCTCCGAGCTCTTTTGTTTGGCCCTCCCTGTGTCCTGGGAGCATCTGCTTTTGCTCGACCGGTGGGTTGTGATGGGCTGAGTTCGCGGAGGCGTGGCCGCAGGTAACTTGCTGGCTCTCCCCGAGGTCAAGAGTCAGAACTTATTTTCGAATGCTGGTCAGTATAGACACCGCGTCGCGACGCCTGTTGTGAAAGGTGTATTTATAGCTCGGGGACACTTAAATTGGTGTGATAATACTCTCAAGTTCATAAATGTTTATCCTTAAGCTTGCTTCTTGACTATTCTGGGAGGACCTCAGTGCTGCTTTCGCGTTATTTTTAAAAAGCAAATTTCGGACCCTTCAGTGGAATGAAGTTTGAAGATAGCAAGAGTGTGACTGTTTGGGGCAGTGGGTTTAGTTCAAGGGCACAGGCGGCTGCCTGGGAAGCACAAGGTCGTGATTTCAATCCCTGGTACTAAAAACAAACAAATAAAATTCTATGCCAGCAAAAAGAATAAAAATTAATTTTTAAAAAACAGTGTGACGGTTTTATCTTTGTAGGTGGCAATCAACGAGAACTTGCCCGCCAGAAGAATATGAAGAAAACCCAGGAAATAAGTAAGGGAAAAAGAAAAGAGGATAGCTTGACTACTTCTCAGAGAAAGCAGAGGTGAGCAGTACTGATAGAGTTCTCAAGTCACTGAAGATATCGAAATATTAAACACAGGGGAAGCCCAGTGTGGTGGCACACACCTGTAATCTCAGCTCTTGGAGGCCGAGGCAGGAGGATCGCGCAAGTTTGAGACGAACCTGGGCTGCAAAGTTAGTTCAAAGTCAGCCTGAACTGCATAGAGATACCCTGTCTCAAAAAAGACAAGTAAATAAAAACAACCACAGAGAATGTTGAGTGCCAGTCAAGTGAGCACCATGTGGAGTCTTCATCCCAACCTGTGGATGAAGAATTTAAAGCTCTGAAGCTATAAATCATTTATTTCACAGGAACCTTCTCAGCTCCTGAACTGTAAGAATTTTATTCAGCAAAATAATAAAACACCTTCTATATGTAAAGCATTATTAGGTGGTAAGAATACCATTTCAAAGCAGACAGCCTGCCCAAACCAGTCTGGATGACAGATGATTGAATTATATTGATAACTGCTGTTCTGAAGATAATTTAAAAATCTATATAGCTATATTAACATCTAAAGATCCAGTACAGCTTGGCATGGTAGCACATGTTGGTACTCCCAACACTTGGGAGGCTGAGGCAGGAGGAGCACTGTGAATGTGAGGGCAGCTTGGACTACATAGTGAGTTCAAGGATAGCCTGAATTCCACAGCAAGTCCCTGTCTCAAAAAAATAAAAATAAAGACCCATTATGTAGGAGGATGCATGTGTTCAGCCTTACTGTAGGACCTCACCCGGATGTGGCTCAGTGGTAGAGCACCTGCTTACTGTGTAAGGCACCACAGAAGACCTTGTGTAACAAATAATAGAAACTGCTACGTTAATACGTTCATGAAACTATAGCTTGGAATTTTTTTTAAAAAGTATTAATGTTTGTTAAAAAAAATAACCAAAGATCAGTTTTATTCTTTTTTTAAATTGGTAATCAAAGTCAAGGCCTCTCCACTTATATATACCACAGAGCTATATCCCCAACCCCGAGTTCTAACATCAAATTTTATTGTCCATGTGGAGTTTGGAGGGTAGGTGAACTGCACATGTTTCAGTGTGGCTTAACAAGGCTTCTCACTCCTGTACCTCAGACCTTACAGCTACTCAAGCCTGTGCCCTACATTCATTTCTGATTTAATTGGTCTGAGGTTAGGCACAAAAAGCATGCCAAGTAAATTGTACTGTACTTCCTATCATAAGGAAAACCTAACTAAAAAATAGCTCCCCTAGCTGGGCTGGCAAGACACATACTTGTAATTCCAGCATGGGGAAGAGGATGTGGAGGCAGCCAGCAGCAGTTTGAGGCTAGCCTGGTGTACATAGCAAGACCCTGTCTCACAAAACCAAAACATAAAAACATTTTAAAGTCTCCTTATACTTCTTTAACCCCCTCATGATGTTGTAATGTAGCCACTTTTGAGACTCACTGATTAATGAAGTTAAAATCCTAAACTTGTACTTCATACTTTCTGCCAGTTAATATTATTAAAACTGTGAAACTTGACTTTATTTTCTTACCTTTGAGTAAAAATGGTATGGATCATAGGGCCAGGGATTTAGCTCAGTAGCGTAAATGCCTGCTTGGCAAACACGAGATTGTGAGGAAACTTAGGAAAGAGCCTTAACTTGTGGTTGGACTGACCTTGGTGTTTATGTGATTTGGAACAGATTCTTGATGCCGAGACCTTTTTTTTTCCTTTTTAAAATCTGAAGCAGGATAATAAGGAATTGTAGAACTTAAGACAAAGCCAATAATGCTTGACACACATATTTTATTGTTTTGTTATATTGGGGATTAAACTCACAACCTCACACTTGCTTGATACATAGATGTTGAAAACATACATTTAATACATTTTAAATTATGGGGCTGAGGATATATAGATCAATGTCAGAGACCTTACATAGCATGCATGAGACCCTGGATTTTATCCCCAGCACCACAAAATAAATAGATCCCCTGGTCCAGGCTCTGTCATAGATTACTTAAATAGGTAATACATGTGAAGATTTATCCAGACTCAGGGCTAAGGAAGTGCTTTCAGCACTCAAGTGACTGGGGCAGGAGGACTGCTGCAAGTACAAAGCCAACCTAGACTACAAAGTGAGTTCAAGGCCAACTGCACTGCATAGCGAAACCCTGTCTCAAAAAGTCTTTTAAGATTATTTTCCCGAAGTCATGGTAATAATAGACATGATAAGTCAAGAATGGTGGTGCATGCCTGTAATCCCAGAATTTAGGAGGCTGAGGCGGATTGTTTTTTAGGAGGATTGTTGCAAGTTTGAGACCAGGTTGGGCTACAAAGCGAGTTCAAGCCCAGTCTGAACTTCATAGCAAGACCCTGTCTCAAAAAGACCAAAAAAAAAAATAGTGGACAGGATATTCAAAATAATAAATAATATCTAACTTTGAAGCCTTTCCATCTCTTCTCCATCTATGAAAACAGAAAGACATGTATATTTATGAATTATACTTAATGGGTTATATATAAAATCAGTTTTTCTTTTTCCCATTATAGGGACTCTGAGATCATGCAACAAAAACAAAAGGCAGCTGATGAAAAGAAGTCTGTACAGACAGGAGAAAAATGATACCTGGCTCTTTGGGAAGCTGGATGCTACTGCCAACTGGTACCTTATATGCTCAAGATCAGAATTTCTTACCATCAACAAATATCACACATGTTACAACTCATTCTCAAAAACTGTTTACTTCAAACTTTTTCAGCATTAATGTGATATTTTAGAACCATTCTTCAAAGAATAAAGCACCATGCATGTGACATTTGTGAATATTGTTTTTATCAGCGAATGTTTCTGTAATTAGGTAGTGTTATTACACAGTAGAACCTCTTTTATAAGTCTAGAATCTTTGCCATCTACTTTTATAAAAGTAGGCCTTTAAAGTAAATTTTATCACGTAGGGTAGTGCTGTAGCTTAGTGGAAGGTTGGTTGCCTGGCATGCACAAACCCCAGCATAAACCCCAACACCACAAAAAATGTGTAATAAAATTTAGGATCCCTTTGTGTAATTTTGCTTTGTAGTCCAGTGACTTCCTTGAAGAATTTTTAACAGTACAAATCACACAGAATACCAACTAAATGGATGTGAATTAAATGAGACAACTCAGTAAAAGTTCTGTTGTTGATTTAAAAAATTTTTAGAATGAGAGTCATATTTTAGTCTAGTCTGAGTCTCTTAAAAAATTGGTGACTTTGGAGTCAGGCATGATGGTGCATGTGCACCTATAATCCCAACATTCAAGAAGGTGAGGCAGGAGAATTGCCAAGAGTTCAAGGTCAACCTGAATTATAGAGCAAGACCCTGTCTCAAATACCAACAAAGAAAAAAATCGGGAACTTTGGGCTGAGGATTAGGTAGTGGAAGAGCCTGGCCCACATGACACTAGCAAAGGGGAAAAAAAGAAATGTTAGTTAATGGTTGTTATTGATTAGGAAATACATTTACCTGATGAAAGGAAAGCATATGATACTGTTCTTTTTTTTTTTGGTACCAGGGATCGAACTCATGACCATGTGCTTGCAAGGCAGGTGCTTATGCCACTGAGCGAAATCCCTAGCCCAATACTGTTCTTTTCTGAAGTAAGCATATATAATTATGTCAATCAAAATGCCACTGAGGTAGTAATAAAGTTTTTTCCAGATACTTGGTTTGTCACATAATCCAATTCATATTTTTACCAATCACCTAACATGATCCACTAGATACATAAACAGATCTTCAAGATCCCTTAATCTTGGGGGTTGTTTGTTTAAGACAGGGTATCACTATGCAGTTCAGGCTAGACTTGAGTTCACTTTGTAGCCCAGGCCAGCCTTGAACTCACAAGATCCTCTTGCCTCCGCCTCCCAAGTGCTGGGATTACAGGATTACCATGCCTGGCTAATCTTGGAGTTTTTAAATTTGTTTTGTTTTTTGAGACAGGATTTCACCATGTAGTTCAGCCTGGCCTTGAATTCCATTCAGCCTGCTGAATGATAGGATAACATGTATGTACCACCACGCATGGCTGAACCATGAAATTTTTTATATTCCAGTTACAACATTTTTCATTAAAATGAAATATCTGTGTCTTGGGTCAACATCAGTTTTAAAAATAATCTATACCAATAGTCACAAAAGGTTACAACTCCTAAATGTACAGTCTGGTAAAATGGGTAAGTCTGAAGTTTCCAAAAGGATTCACTAATTTTTGTAAGTTTATCTGTAAGAATAAGCTGTGAGGACAAAGAACTTCATGCTATAAGCTGTTATCATTCATTTGCTATTTTTAGAGTAAATAATATAGTTTAAAATAGCTTGTATACAGAATGAACTTTAGGCTTTTTAAAAATTAGTTCTTCAGGAGACTGAGGCAGGAGGATTGCCATGAGTTCAAAGCCAACCTATTCTACATGCTGAGCCCAATGCCAGCCTGAACTATATAATGAGACCCTGTCTCAAAAACAACAAACAATAACAACAACAACAAAAATGTAGTTCTTACAAATGCATGAAAAACAAGGGTTTTCAAATGACATGGATGGGCCAGAGATATAGCTCAGTGGTATAAGTGCTTCCCTGGCAAGTGCAAGTTTGATTCGTGATACAAAAAAAAAAATACATGGGTGATAGGTGACTTCTGGGCTAGAGTTGACTGGCAGGCTCTTGGTAAATTTGTCTTGAACTCCTTGATTCAAGTGATCGACCAGGTGCTGGGATTACAGATGCACACCTCAACCCTGGACATACTTGGTATATTATTTTCATGAAATTGTCAACCGCAGTTATTCATTAAACCAAAATTGAGTAAAAACAATTGTCAGATGGCCTCCTGCATCTTTATCTGCCAATGTACTTGCAGTGTAGTAATTATATTTGAGATAATTACCTTTGGAAATGGTCAAGTCATAAAAGTATCACTGAGAAAGGAGAATGACAAATATATTTGAAGTGGGGCTGGGGATTTAGCTCAGTGGCATAAGCACCTGCCTGGCAAGCATGAGGTCGTGAGTTTGATTCCTGGTAACAAAAACTAAAATATATATATATATATATTTAAAATGCTCTTTCCTATAAATTCTAGAATCATTAAAAATACAGGTATTTCCTTCTATTTCTATTAATAAAATCTGTTATATAACATTAATTATTTAATGTACATTAAAATTTCATGGGTAATGTGCTGTGCTGTTGAATCATTTGGGAATATTGAAATTTTTCTAATTATAATCTAATTAATTTTTCTTTTGAGAAAGGATCTTACTAAGTTGCTAAATTGCCCAGTTAGGGTTTGAACTTGAACTCCTCCTAATTCAGCCTTCCACAGCCCTGAGATTATAGCACATAGTTTTTGTTTTTCGGGTGGCTTTTTGTTTTACGGTTTTCTTGTTTTTTATGAGATAGGCTCTTGCTATGTAGTCCACGCTGGCCATGAACTCACTGTATAGGCAAGGCTGGCCTCAACCATATGGTGATCCTCTTGCCTCAGCCTTCTGAGTGCTGGAATGACAGGCGTGCACCACCACACCCAGCAGGGTTTTTTTTAAGTGGGAAAACAAATTTTCATAACCAAATAAGAGAATAACAAAAGTTACTGCATTGTGTATAGCACTTTTTTTTTTTTTTTTTTTTTTTTTTGGTGCTGGAGATCAAACTCACAACCTTGCATTTACCAAAGCAGGCACTTACGCTGCTGAACTAAACCCTCAGCCTGAGCACAATATTTTTTATAATGTAATTTTGTAGAACTATTTTCCATGCCACAAGCTATTCTTGCTATTTTAGTTGGATGTGACTCTGCTTGCTGATATATCAGTGCAGGAACAATTCCTTGCAGTATGATTTTATTTTTCTTTTTTTTTGAGACAGGGTCTTACTGTAGTTTAGGCTGACCTGAACTCACTGTGTAGCCCAGGCTGGCCTCACACTCAATGTGATCCTCCAGCCTCAGCATCCTGAGTGCTGAGATTACAGGAAACTTTTTGAGGTTTTGTCCAGACTTGCATATGAGAAATTTGCCTGCCAATTAGGCTATAATGGACATAGTCCTATTGAATATTTTGCTTTTTTGAACATATATTACATGACAAAGACTTTTTTGTTCTTTTTCAAAGTCTCATTTGATCTTAAACCACTCAAAATGACAGATTGGTTCATGAATCATACTTTATATGACACAGGATCTCGCTATGTAGTTCAGATTGCCCATGAACTCCTAGTGATCTTCCTGCCTTGGGGCATAGAGGTAAACGCTAGGATTACAGACAAAAGCCACCACACCTGGAAGTTGGAAGTTTCTCTTTTAAGAGCCTCTGTATCTTGTTTATAAAAATCATCTAGAGTTCATCTTAGTGTAATGTGTGAGTAAACCTTATGTGCAGGATCACTAATATATCAATGCCACTTAGATGTACACTAGCCTTTGTCCATTAGGCCATTCAAATATTCTTCAAATATGGCATTTGGAAATTTCAATTTTTTACTGCTCTACCAGTGTAGCCAGACAACTGGCACACACTTGTAATCCCAACACTCAAGAGTCTAAGGCAGGAGGATTGCTGCCGTGACCCAGTGCGGCTCCTGAGTTTCTTGGGGTTAAGGACCAGTGAGAGGATGAGAAAAATAAAGAAGACAAAGCTGGGGTCAGCTGGAGCCCTTTTCCTCCTGACAGGACGAAAGGAACTGCTCAACCAATGCAGCATGTTTATTTATACCCTTCAAAGAAGAATGTGAGTTCCAACCCCACTGCCTAGCAACTTGTTTGCCTGACAGGCCTGGGCCCCGGCCTTCTCAGTGCTAGAACAACTCATTTACATAGTTTGTTTTGGTTTCTCTACTTTTTCTGGGCTGGCCTTACTTCAGCCCCTTACATGTGATCAATCTCCTGCTTCAAGGGCTCTGCTCCCAACATATCCGGTTCTTTTGTTTTGTTGTTGCACAGGATGGGTGATCAATTGAAGCTGGAGGAGGTGTGTTGGAGAGCTCTGTAGACCTTTTAAGTGCAATCCAAAGATTTTAAGTCCCTGCATTCTTCGATTGAAACCCTGTGCAATCCATTAGTCAGCTGCCAGTGTAGCTGGCAACTGCCCAAAGGTATTAGTGATTTGAGTTTCTTTTTTAACATATTACTTTAACATTGTTTTATATACCTCTAGTAGTTGCACATTTTCTGCAGGATGTTCAAGACCAAGCTAAAGTGAGACCTGTTTTGAATGCAATCAAGTTTTGTTATCTATTAAGGTCAGTTAAGTCTCCTCAGGAATACCTTGAAACCAGCGATAGCAGCTCTTAGTTCTTCCATCAGTGTCAGTCGTTTGGATTAGTCATGGCCATTGCTTGACCAAGTTGCTTTCTGTGAAAACTTAGGAGATTTTTGCTCCTGGTGACTCTCCTTAGTCACACCAGTCACTGATGATCGGTTTCCTCAATGGTCTCATAGTCTTCTTGATCTTCTATAGGAGGAGTTCTACAACAGAGATTCTCTTATGTCCTGGGTCCTCATTGACCTTGAAGAGAGATAGGGCCAAACTATTGGCTATCCTCATATCCTGTCTAATTATTGGTCTCTATATCTCAGTTGTTGAACATCCAGAAGATTAATAATAGTACAATGTACTTAGAGGCATTATTGTCTTATAGAAATATCAAAACATCTTGCAACATAAAATAGAACTATTATTTTCTTTTTTTTTTTTTTTTTTTTTTTTTTTTGATCTTTTTCATTTTTACCGGTACCAGGGATCGAACTCACGACCGCCTGCTTACAAGGCAGGTGCTTA